TTTTTAACAATGGTTGCTTCTACCTTTATTATTGCTGTTAGTGGGATTTATTACTATTCATGTTTTTTTTTTAAGTTTTTTTTTTTTTTTTTTTTTTTATTTTGATTATTATTATTATTATTTTTTAATCATTAGTTTAGTCTTAATGTTTTGTATTATTAGTCTACTTTTGTTTAGTGTAAATGTAACCATTTTAATTCCTCCTGGGGAATTTTATGTGTTTAATAAAGTATAAGTATAAGAAAGAGGCAGATATACACATCCTAAAGTGAACAGAATTTGTAAACAGTGTGATATTAATGATTTTCAGATTGAATGTTAAAAATACAATATTTTACGCCAAGACTCAAATCACATGACAAACTTAAAAATACTGACAAATTTATATGACTGATACAGACTAATGGTACGAGTACATTAACCAAAGTAAATATAAAAACATGTAAACTGTATCTTCATTTATTTTTCATTTTATATATTTGTATTTCTTTTTTCATAAAATATTATTACTGCATACTAATACTCGTATTCCTAAATATGCAATAATCAATGTTGTTGTTATTATTATTATTATTACGACTTTCAAATTTCAGAAAGTCTGTTGTTTCTGGTTATAAAGTAGCAGCGTTACATAAACGTATGAAGGTCATGAGGTTGAACTCTTTGCAGCGGATGTCAATGACTCATCTCAATAGTCTTAGAATACCCCCCCCCCCGCCCCAACACACACACACTTTAACGTGAATGCTAGACAGCCTACGAATCGTGTTGCAAAATGGGTTGTTATGGAAATCATTAGGGTGTGACGTTACACAAATATATATAGGCGTTGTTACACTTACGCTGGACGCTTTACATTCCGCGGAGACTAGAATACGCGCTGACAAGTAACTGAACTGCAGAGCCGGGTGCAGAGCACACAAGGAACACAAGATACAGCAGTAGCAAGAACTGCTCCGAGTACTGTGCCGGGGTGCGAAGTGGACAGTGAAACCCCTTTAATCGATTTATAGATACGACGACAAATCAGGTCTCTTCAATAACATGTATACTTACTAGAACTTAGAAGCCCGATTCATGTAATGTCCTTCACTTCCGGTAATGTCGTGAATAGTATAAACTGGCGCTGATACGCTATCTGATTCTCAGTATAGTATAGTATATCCACAAGTGACAGTAGTGCGCATACCCTATTGTGCATGTGTGGGCATACAGTGAGGTGCCGTGCGATTTAGGGTTCGGGTGTGACAAAATATTGACCCATACTGTGACCTCAGACTATACAATGTATTACTCGTCTGAGCTGTGACGTGCCCTATTGAGATTGTCAACCAATCAAAATGACGCGACGGGGCCTCTTGAGTCACCGTGATTGCGTCTGTAAACGTGCAGTATCAAAGGCGCCATACAATACACATTGTCTCTTCAAATGGCTTCCTCAACGACTAGAAAGTTATCTTGGCTGAAATTACTGTTGTGGTATTAAAATGAATAAAAGGGGTATAAGACAAACTTTATCTCGGCTGTACAGAAGAAAGTATACATGTAGTTATATTTGGGCAGAAAATGTATAAAAAAAATAAAACATGGCAATTTACAGAATGCTTCTGTGTCTGGGCTATGAAATGAATATGCTATGGCATTGGCATATCACAACACTTACAGCTAAAAGGCGGATTTTAGTTTACCTCGATCAAAATAAAATGTGTTATAAATATTGTTATTGAAGGCATTAGCGCCTGATTTATCTAATTCAAATTATGACATTGGAATAGCATGTTGTTGACACACTTATAACTATAGTGTACCATGTGTGAAATGTACATCATTGCTGATTGTGCGTTAACAAATCTTGAAAATACCAATAAATAAATGAAAACTAAGAGTGTTTACGAACACACGAAACAAAAAAGTTATAACGAAAACACAAACGGATTTTCAGGATTTTGTTGCCGTTACCTCGTTTTCTCCAGGCAGTGCAGTAGTAGGACTAACAACTCTGGGGGAGGAACTTTCACAAATAAAGGGTCAATCATATTATTTAAAAAATAATAAATATATTTAACAGGTCTATTTATAGTATTGTACAAGTGTTATGTGATATCGATAAGATTGCAGGTGTATCACGAGGTTACTTAGCGTACTTGTATTTACGTTTTATAATAAATATATTTATTTATTCAAGAGACGCCTACAAATACACTGGCAGTTACTATCTTTCAGGCATGTTGACTCCCAGCACGAAAACGTGTATTATAGGTCAAAATGACCAGCTGATTATACTTATTTTCGATTTTGGATTACCTTTTTTCGAACGTGTTTTTTTTACTCCCGTGTGCGAAGCACACAATGGGAGTTTTTGCAATTACCCTGTCAGTATGTGTGTGTGTGTGTGTGTGTGTGATATCTCAAGAACCGTATGTTGTTTTTTAATGAAACTTGGTGTATATATGCTCTGGGCTAATGCGCAGATTTGATTAGGTTTGGGTTGAAATCCATACATATTAATTGCCTGATTTGCATGATAATTAGCTAATTTTTAGCTCTTCCTTGACTGTTCCACTGATATCCAAAGAGCCATTCATTAGATTTTGAAGAAATTTTGTACATATATGCTCTGGACTAATGCACAGATGTGATTAGTTTTGGGTAAAAATCCATGCATAAAATTAACCTAATTTACATAATGATTAGTCAATTTTCGGCTTTTCCACTGATATTTCAGGTGCTAGTCATCACATTTCAATGAAACTTACATAGAGACATGTAACGATGCACAGACAGATATGCGAAATATTAATTACCTAATTTGCATAATTAATCAATTTTCAGCCATTGATATTACAAGTACTATTACTTCATTACTTTTCAATAAAACGTGGTACATGGATGCACTAGAACCACCCAAAGACCTGATTAATTTTAAGTAAAAATGTGTGCATATTAATCAACTAATTTGCATAATTAGTTAATTTGTGGCTTTCACACTGATATCGCAAGTACTAATTATTCCATTTTAATGAATCTTGGTACATAGATGTTCTAGGACAATGCACAGACCTGATTAGTTTTGGATTAAAATCAGTGCATATTAATTACCTAATTTGCATAATTAGCCAATTTTCATCTTTTACACTGATATCACATGTACTAATTATTTCATTTCAATGAAACTTGGTACATTGATGCTCCAGAACAATGCACAGACCCACTCATTTTTAGGTTAAAATCAGATCATATTAATTACCTAATTTGCATAATAAATCATAATTTTTGGTTTTAATCACATTCGAATGAAACTTTGTACATAGATGGTCTGTGACAGTACTTATTTTAATTCAGTGAATCTTGGTATGTACTCCAACACAATATGATGATCAAATTAGTTTTAGGTTTATATACATCTATAATAAATGAATAATTTGCATAATAATTTACTTTTCAGCTTTCCACTGATTTAGTTAGGATTAATCATCATATTATAATGAAACTTGTGCACATGTGCACCCTAAAACAATATACAGAACTAAATCTATGCATAATAATTGCTTAATTTTTATAATAATTCATTTGGTTCATTGAGGTAATCCACAGACATGATTAGTTTAATGTTGATGAACATGCATATTGATTATCTATTATTAGCCCAATTCTGATATCTAAAAAATTAGATTTAAATTGAATTCATTGCAGAGATGCTCTGGAACTATTTAGACTAAAAACCATGGATGAAAAATCAAATGTATTTTCTGTATACATTTTAAATTTTGATAATGTGAATCACATTTTTTTCATGTTATGCATCTCAGATAGACAAAAATTAGTTGCCAAGCTTCTTGTTTGAAAAGCGAATCTTAAATTTTGAATTAATTTTAATGTGTCTCCAATACTCTCAGCACACGGGAGTCCTTTCTTTGATTACATTCATGGAATAGCGGCAGAAAAAGTAGCTATTCCATTACATTGCTTGCATATGACAGGACTGTGGAGACAAAGCTTGAGATTTCCCACAGACATTACGTGTTGAACATCTTGCCTTTGACACTTTGTGGTGAACTGTGTTCATTATTACTAGTATTGGAGGTTATTGGTGACACATAAACCCATATTTTCACACTTGGTAACAATGCTTTAAACCAAACCAAAAGGACAACTTTCAAAAACTAAATCAATTTTCTCAGAACGCTGCTTCATGGAATTCAAATCTATTTTGTAGTATTATGTGTTCTTGTATTTGTTTCTAAAATGAAAATCTTGCTTTTTGCGCAGGAATTTGCTTGTGGCCATCACGTGGATTCATCAGAATTATGACAGACCATTAGGCTAAAAAAATGACTACTTATTTGGACCTACAAAACAGAAAAAACTCTACCAAGCTGACATTGATTTGTACAAACTTTGAGAACATTAACCAGTCCACAATCCTAAAGGCTAGTGAATTTGTGAACCGATAAAAATGTTTTGCATGATGCTCTGATTGGCTAGTTATTTTTAGTCTCCATTCAAACCGGGACTTATAATTCCGTCATATTTCAGAACCCTGAACCAAATCTGTTCATTTTTTGTATGTGCCTAGTACTTTATACTTATGCATGCTTAGTCAGATTTTGTTCAAATTTGATAAATACATTGTACATTTTAGATTACATGTCCACAACAATTTGTTTTACAATCGGATCAAAGATGGCCGACTGGCAGCCATCTTGCTTTTTGACAATACTACTACATCTCCATTTTCATTCTTATTTGGCACATACATTATAAATATAGGAATGCATGTTTATTTCAGTTTGTTTCAAAATCAGATCAAAGTTGGCCGACTGGCATCCATCTAGTCTTTTGGAAAATGAGGTTTTTTGGACTGGATTTGTCAGTTTTTTGCAATTTTTTGACCATACTACCACATCTCTGTACATGAAATTCAGTTTGGATACAAAAAATGCATGAATAGCATATCCTGTTTAATTTCCGACCATATATTTTGATTTTGGAATTTAATAGATCTAATTCCTGTTGATGCTAGACCAGCCATTTATTCACTCTCAATTAGTACCTAAGCTTTTGGTCCGTAACTTTATTTTTGGCACGAATAACATTCCAACTATGTCATTAAAATGACTCGTTTCATTTTGAATGTCATGTTTAACTATGAAGTAATCATTAATGAAAGGTTCTATAAGAATCTATACACCATGAAACATTGCCAGTTGTTAAAATGACATGCATCTGTAACCCCAGTATGTATAATCCTAATACAAAGCCCTATTCATTCGTGAGGAGAAATGATTCCACACACATTAACAGACTGCAATTTTAGGATTTTATACAAAATAATCATCAATCCGACAAATTTGATCAAGTCACACAAAATCACACAACCTATGGGTATAGTACTTATGTACAAAGTTTAAACTCAGGCAATATATAAGTGATGAATCAGCATGACCATGAACAAAAAGAAAATGGCTGCCAGTTGGCCAATTTTGTTGGAATCTTATAAAAAAAATATGACGTGCATGTGCAAGACAATTTGCATGATCATGATACTAAGTTACAATAAAATTACCATGTTCGTCTCGAAGAAAGGGATCAGGACACATTCACAAACTGCGATTTTAGACAAAATGGCCATCAATTTGACAAATTTGATCTACAATGTATTATGAAATACCACAGCCTACATTATTACCGAAGAGTTTACTGTTAAATACTTTATTTTCACTTGGAATTAATTTTCACTGTTTTTCAAAGAAGAAATGGTTCAGTGAAAATAAAATCCAGTTTACATAACTTTTTTTTTGTATATTTTACATTCAACTTTCAAAAATCAGTGAAAATAAAGTCCATACAAAACATTTTTTTTTCAGCGAAAATTAACTCCAGCTAAAATAAATTATTTTACAGTAGTACTTGCATACAAACTTTTGGTTGAATCAGGCAAAATATTAATAGGCATGAATTTAAATAAAAACTTAAATAAAATGGCTGACTATTGACTATTTTTTTGAAAATTTAACATGCACCCATGCATGATTATGATGAATGAAATCATCCTGTCTATCTCCGAGAAACAGTTATGGACATGTTTATATACTGCAATTTTATTTTAATAAAATGGCTGTCAAATTTGATAAAAACGAAAAATAACACAACTTATAGTATTAGGAGTATGATGAATATGATTATAAAAAAAAAATACATAAAAAGGGGGAATAATTCACATTTGAAACAAAGTATAAATTTATTTAAAATGAATTCATGTTCTCATTCAGTTTTCTTCTTTCTTTCCTCTGTTTCACAAAATCAAACATGACAGCATTTATTCATTCCAATGCCATGATCCCTAAGATTTGGATGGAGGGTGAGGCAGTGTCCAACAAGTAATGCAGATATTAATTATGCTTTTAATTGTCATCTTCATTGTCATTGGTTTCTGATTCCTGTTGTGCTGTAGCAGCTTTCTCCTCTTTTGCTTTATTCCTGGCTCGCCGTGCTTGAACAAAACTCATTGGATGAATAGGAAAAAATCCAGATAATCCTGCATGGGAATAAAAAAGGAAGACAGAAAAGACAAGATGTTTGGATTGCTATTACCCCCCCCCCCCCCGGGGTTGTTCATTTTGAATCTTCCGTTTTCTTTGTAAATTGTAACTTGAGTAAAAGACAAAAATAGGCCAATGGCCTGTTGCTCAACGGCTATTGTACAAAAGATTAGTGCTGTATATGACAAATACCCAAAAGGCAGTGAGTGAGACAATAAAACATAATGTTAAAAGTGGAATTTTTTACAAAAATAACAAAAATATTCAATAAAATTAGAATCAAAGAGAGCTTAAAAAGAACTCCAGCATGTTGAGAGAATAACATAACATGATATTTGCAATTATCTGAATTCGTAATACGTGTATATACCAAGTTTTGTTGAAATTTCACTAGCTGATATGCAAATTAGATAATTTGCATAAATTTACACCAAAAACTAAATATATCTAAAAACTGCCCCAACACATCTATGCACCAAGTTTTATTAAAACATACTAAATGGTTCTCAAGATATCACCAAAATAGCCTAAATATTGGTACGTAAATTGGGCAATTTGCATAATATTCCAGCAAAATCAATCATGTCTATACACATTTAAATATGTTGAGTGGTTATGTTTTTATTACAATCACAATAGACCAATCAAAGAAAACTTAGAGTTTTGGTTTGAGAGCAACCGGACTGCCAGTTTTGGAGAAGAAGTCGAAAATAGCATTTTTGACCAAAAATGAAAAAAAATATTCGCTAAAAATAGAAAATTGAAGATATGGACATGAAATGAACAAATCTGATAGAGGTCCACCCAAGGTACATACACGCCAATTATCAAAGCATTCAGGCTACCGGTTTTGACGAAGAAGTCAAAAATAGAATTTTTGACCCAAAATGACCATTTTAAAATATTTGCCAATTGAAAATTTCCTTACTAAATTAACAAAACTGATACAGGACAACCCAAGGCACATGCACTATCAATATCAGCACTGTAGACCACTTATTGTCATAGTAGCATAGAAGAAATTTCAGAGTTTTAGGGGGCTAATTTGCATAATTTTTGGCAGATCGACTTCTCATGAACAAATTACCATCTACACTCATCAAGGCATCCACACACCAAATCGAGTCAAACGGTTTGGTAGTTTTTGAGAAGAAGTCGTGCACAGACAGACAGATAGATAGACGGACGACAGACGCAGGTCAGAAACCCATCCCATAGGCTCAGTAGACCTATGGTCCGTTGAGCCAAAAATGGCATCCAAGTTTTTAAATTTTGTGTATATCCTAATTAAGCACTTACGCAAGCAATCCTTTGAAAAATTAAGCAAATGACAATTGCAATTTTTGTCTTTTGTGGGGAAAAATAAAATTGCAAAATTAGTTGCGTCATCATTAATTAATTTCCATGACAGTACACCAAGGAAACAAAAATGGTCAACCAAGGAAACAAAAATGGTCATAAAAAACATGCACATTTTATTTAAATATTATTCATGTACCATCAGAATTTACATTATACTTAATTATAAATATATGCTTAATTATTAGGGTCTGTGGGAAAATATTGAAGTCAAGAATGTTTAACATTATCTTTGATGTTAAATGAATTCGATCATATACAAACTCTTGAGACAAAGCATTTCCCGAATTATGTTTTCTGCACAACTTGCAGCAACGTTGCTTGACCTGATAGGTTGAGTCAATTATTGACCAATGTTGCACCAACAAATTTCTCTAAGAATTCCCGAAAGCATTCTGGTAACAATGTGAAAGGGAACTATCAATGTCAAAAAATTGATTTCAGCGAAAAATTAAAAAAAAAATTAATTAGCAATTGTTGAAATGTAAACTGAAATGTTGAAAGAAGTATTTAATGGCTTTCATGATGGTTCTTAACAGGTCATTTTTGAAGCTTAGTTTACACATTCACACAATATTAATAGCAATGGATATCTATGCTGTAATATATACATTCGATTACCAGTATATGTAAAAAAAAACAGGTTTTATGACTAGACAGTCAAATTTTTGGGGAAATTTGGAGAGATGGGCACTTAGTAGGGTATGAGTCCAAATATATTAAAACCCCATCATGTGCAGTGTTGTACTTTAATTTAATAATTCCGAGTGGAACTTCATACTCACCTAATAATAATGCAGATGGCTTAGTGAGTTCAGCACCTTCTGCAATCCAATATTTTAACCTTTCAAAATTCACTGCTACTAACTTCTCGTTATGCTTATTCGGCATTGGATCATATGAGCCTATGTGTTCTAAGGGTACATGGTTTCTGGGCAGTAGATGATTTATGACGACTAGATGATAGAAAGGTCTATTGGTACACCCATGTAAGGCTAGCCTGATACGCAGCACCATTTTGTGTTTTTGATTATTTAACTGTAAAAAAACACAAAAAAAGTATTTTTTAAGGCTTACAATACTTGTATCACACACTTGGTCATGTGATGTACTGTAAAATACTTTATATTTATCTGGAATTAATTTTCGCTGAAAAGACATTTTGGGTGTTTTTTTATGGAATTTATTTCACTGATTTGTGATGAGTTAAAGTTAAAATATAAGAAAAAGACATTTTATTTTCACTGAATAATAAATTCTGAGCGAAATTAAAGTCTTTTACAGTATATGATGATTGATTTTTCTCCTCAAAATAAATAAAAAATCAGATTTCAACTTCTGAAGGCTAGTAATATAATAGTTTTCAATAAATGGGTGATTAACAGCAAACCTAGAAGACTATAGAGAAATGATACTCAGAAGAGCCTTCCCAGCCAATGAAAGTACACTGTACCTGGATTTAGATGCATCAATGACTAAAACATAGCGCACACATTGGCTACTGTAACAGTTTTAATTTTCCCTGCTAGAAATTTACTCTATTTCAGGACTGTACTGCATTTGTGAAGAAAAAATGTCACCGATACTCCATGTTGTAGGAACCAAGAAAAATTCTCACTGCTACAAAACTTCAAAATTTTACACTGACTCACAAAACTTGCAAAAATGTGCGTCTAGCGGAATTATTAACATGGTTTACAGAATTCAGTCTAACCTAACCTAGTGTTCTTGACTGAGGCTGCGCAAAATGCATGTCACGTGCTTGGTAACTTGAAAAAAAAGGATTAATGATGAAACTGTTACTAAGGCACTATTAGTACTATAAAACTGTAAATCGGCCGGCATATAGGACTGTACATTTTTATTTGTAATGTGTGGCAACACGTGTCAGAAACAGAAAATAATTCACCACAAGTTTTAAAATTGCTGGTATTAAATTTTACGTGTTTTCTTACAACCAGCAACGCTGCATTTACCCCGGTATCTATTTTATAAATGCACTCAATGTCTGTATGTGTGTGTATTCTAAAGTCACGTGTATTAAAATAAAAATAGGTCCCTAAACTACACGGTCGTGCATCGAAATAAACCATAAGTATATAGAAGCGCATTATCGAATAGTTCACACTCCATATATACATGCTTGAAGTATTGTTCTCTTACCAATTAATTATTCAAAGTTAAAAACCTGCAACCAGCATTTCACATTGTGATGAACAAAACGCAGCGAATCGTCATTTTAGTGCGCTTGAAGTTAGCGTCATATTCGTATCGATTTAACCTATTCACATCATGTGAAATCCAACGTTACTATCGGAACACCGTAGCTGAAGGATGTGAAATATACTAAGAAGAGTTTGGACTTACTGAATTGTCTAAATAGGTGGATATTTGTCATAGATAATTTCCTTTAAAAATATAGACCGATAATGGCGATATAATGTTTTTTTTTTTCATTTTTATACTATCTTGTTTGCGGGAAATTTCCCTATTTCTTTCCAAGTATTAATATAAATAAATAGACTGTATGTTTTTAAAATGTTTGTATTTTGTTATTTATTCATATTTTGTTTTATTTGTTGTAAGATAAAGTTACCACATAGAAAGAAATAAATAAATAAACGAAAGTAGTAAAATAAAAAAAAAAGAGAAAACGCACATATTGTTATCATGCTTTTATATACTGTTACGTATAACATGTACAAGGAAATTGGCAAAACGAATGTACTAAAACTATTATCCTGAGGGGCATGTGAATGTGGCATTGGGTCATTGTAATGCTGAATGCGACGCTAACTCTGCGCCCCGCACAAGATAGGATAGCTCCCTAGCCGAATATCGAATTTTATTAACATACTGTAATATTGGATGCAATAAACACACACACAAATATCAAGTTACCTTTCACTTTCAATTTAAAAAGATCAATATAATTTCCTATAACAAATATATGGCTGGTGGTAATGTATTAACGACTGTGAGTATTTATTTTTCAAAGGCTTGTTTTTTTTCTATTAACAGTAACTTAAAGGGTCTGCCCAAAGCTCTGACCTTTGCACTGTTGTGTTCTTTTCCGGTGGATCTCGAAGCGAAGAAAACAGCAAAATGGTGTGTTTACCCTGTATTATGTACGCTATCGTGCCGTTCTTTATATGGATCTGGCACAAATATTTTCAACCATACTACAATAAGGTGTGGGGAACCAAAAAAGCAGTGACTGAAACAACGACGGACACCACGACAGGGAAAGTAAGTTGAATACTTGTGTTGCGTTTGCTTTTATAAGGAAGATTCGGCACCGGCGGCCATTCCTAGTATATTTAATATTTAGCTCTTTTTAATGAACTGTACTCGTATAATGAACAGGCGATCCGACAAGGTTTTTTTTATTTCCGTTCACCACTCTCTCCACGGAAATTCTACCTTGAAAAATCAACATAGGCAACGTTGCTATAATAATATTATAATAATAATAATTATTATTTTCATTCAACACAAAAATCTACAGAAAGTAATTTTATGGTTGTAAAACAAAAACAGAAATAATACGCAACTAATATTACAAATAGCACATTAAATACATATAATTATAGACTTTTTGATGATGATGATTTTGTTATTGGATGACTTAAAAAAATAACCATTCATTAGTGAAAATTTAATTTCTGTATATGCTTCAATTATTCGTGGGTTTTAATTTCGCTATTTTTATGGATAAGTAAAATCTGCTAAAATAACCCCATGTGAACATGTAAAATAATAATAATATTAAAACTTTGCTTCCTTGCAAAGTTTGTGAACTTAAAACCCAGTGAAATTGCTCAAAAGATCATAAGAGTGACATTACATGTAAATGTCAGCGAAAATAAAGGGTTTTACAGTAGATTTCCTTAATGAAATGTTGCATAGTTGACAGCTATGTAAAGTTAATATGTATTGGGGCATTAGGCCTGTCATAGGAACGTTGATTTTAATTACACAAAAACTAAGTGAAATAATTGAAATTGTTATACAGTTCGTTTTTTTCAAGGATATTGATTATGTGTCAACATGGTTTGAGTTTTCAGTATTTAGTTACCAGCGTAATATTCAAAATGGTGATGTATATCAAACTTTGCACCCTTCATCTACAATAATGCCATATTTTGGTCTATAGTTTTGTCAATATTCAGTTTATCCATGAATATGGATTATGGTTAATTTATAAATATTTAAATAATGTATAAAAACTATGAATGGCAGTTGATAACCAAACAGTATTGTGTTGTGTTGGTTTTCTAAAACATTTGTCCTTGGATCAATTCTGGGTCATAGATTATGTCATTCAAATATAACAAGAATTGTGTTCATTTTGAGGACAAGGAAATAAATTTTTGTAATACTTTATAAGAGAGTACAAAATGTAATCTTGTTCAGTATCAGTACATGTGAGTGTATAGTGTAAAAGGGTTAATTATTCACTGGGTTTTAATTAATTTTGCTTATTTCGCTGACTAGAAAATGCAATAAATTGTAAAATTTAGCATAGAACACATTATCTAAATAATATAACCATGAATTTTAAACCCACTGAATATGCCTGAAATGGCAAATCAGCGAAATTTAAACCCAGTGAAAATTAGTCATTTTACAGTAGTTATAGGGCATACATAAATTTCAGTTTCAGTAAAAAAAAGCACATCATAATTTAAATGGAATAAACTGAGTGAAATATTGTACAAGATACAACAACAACAACAACAACAACACAATCAGTCATAAGTAAACACACAAGTAAAATCTGCTAAATTAAATCCACATTAACATATGTAATAACAATAGAATTCGTTGTATCCCTGGCAAATTCATGTGAAAACCCAGGGAATATGATTAAAATAGTGGAATTAAATGCCAGTGAAAATAAATAATTTTACAGTAATAAGAAAAAAGATCCAAAATGAGAGTATGTACAGCTGCCCTTTTTTTGCATTATGTAACATAAAATATTTATCCTTATTTATTCCTAAAAACGAATATTTAATAGCAATAAAGGTTAACTTGTAATGAATGATTAGAATTTGCATAAAGTTAGGAGATGTGAATTTATAACGAGCATTGACTACATAAGAGCAAGAAAAATTATATAAGACTAAGAGTAGGGAGGAAGTTACATTTAGAGAAGGAAAAATATTTTTTTTTTTTAAATGTAAAACTTCCCTACACTAGAACAGTAGTACAGACATTGTTGTATTTTCTTTGATGTTCTTTTTGGATTCATATGTGATATTGTATATGTAGGTTAGCTTTGAATATTTCAAGACAAGTTTACATCACACAGGGTACACAATATTTCCAAGAACCTCATAATAAAGAAAAGATACAGAACTACCATGTGAAAATTTAGTAAAATATCTACCAGCATTCCATGTTTTTTCACAAAAATATAAATAAGTTGATGTCTAATTTCAGGAGAAAGTGTCAGAAAAAGGGATTGCTAATGGTGTTGCAGCCACAGGGGAAGGTGCAGGAGGAGACAAAAAGAACGATTAGCACAAGTCCAGGCAGAAATCAACTCAACAGAAAGACATTAAACATCACCAAAGCTGATGTTCATTCAGTGACCCAATACACAAACTGTTACCTATGAAATTATGTTTATTTAATCCAATACAAGTTTCAATACATTTACTATATGTACACATGTATGTATTCACGTCTGTAGTGAACTTTGATGCTGATCTTGAACTTTGATCTTTATATGCATAAATGTTTTGTATAAGTGCAATGTGGTATAATAATACTTTCATAAATAATAAATTAACCGTTTATCTATAGTTTATGATTTTGTGTGTTTACATAGTTCATTTTTTAACATTTTTCCTTGCGATATTCCAATTGGTTCCAGTGACTGCTTCCATAATAACCGAACGTGATTTATGCAATTCAAGAATGTAGTTTTAAAAATAAATTTAGTAACTGTGTTGTGGTTTTGATCACATCTCTGGGACATTAAAAGCAAGTTTATTTTCTGAAAGTCACAAAAATATCAAACACCACCACCACCACCAATCTGTCATTTGATCACTAATTTCATCATAATTTTTTCTTCTTATTCGACCAGATCAAATAACTGCATGAATGAATAATAAAATAGGGCTAGACCCAAAATACAACTTACTTTGCAGATTCGGTGCTTGTAAAATGTTTAGATGTACATAGGCAAATTTTGTTTTGAGTTAGAGATACTGGAATGTTGTGAAATACGGCTATTCAAAATCTGAAATGATGCAGATGACAAAGCTTTTCTGGAGCATTTTTCTTCATAGAAAATGCTTGTAGATATTCATGGTCCTTGGTAATTGTGCAATGTACCAGTAAACATTGTTTTGAGTAAGACCAACAGCAGTACAGCAAGAGCAAATTTATTAATATTATTAGCATTATTAATAAGTAAATATCAGTAAAATGAAGGAAAAATTAAAATTTTAAGAAAATAACATGACTGTAATGCCAGCATTTTGTGTTTCAACTGTGTATTCAACAGTGTTTAGGATCTGGTTGACCCATTCACATGGCTATTATCTGGAATGACATTACTGAACACAAATGAAGGATTCTACATGACAGGGGAAACAAAGTACTTAATACGTTAATGTGGACAATAATTTCCAAAAAATTATCCCATAATGTGCTCAAAAAAACTGATGAGACAACACATACATTACTGAATAGTGCTAGGGTAATTCTAAGTGAAATAATAATATAGTATTAAACAAGCCATTTTAAAAAGTAATTTTTTTGAAGGGTACCTTAAAAAAAAGTGTTTGGAGGTAAGTAATACATTTTAAGATTGATTGGACCACATAGAGAGGATAGAGGGACTGTGATTGGACATTGTTTTAAGGTTTTGATTGTCTTATTGCGTAATTGTTTTCTGATCCAGTAATGTGTAAAACAATGGATCTGTGATGGTCAACAAATCAACTGAATGAGATTTATTTATGTATGTATGCATTTTTTTTTCTCGAGGTGTCCAACTTGCAATTTTTTTTAACAAATCTTCCAGCTACGGCCATTCCTTGAATCATTTACTGGTATACAATTCATCATTGACAGTAGCTTGTACAGTTTATATACAATCTGTTGATCACAAATAGGTGACAAAAAAGTGTCATTCTATTTTCAATGACCAAAGACAAAAATTTGTATTTATTCAACTTTCTGACCTCTTGTATCCTTGCAACATTCTAATTCCATTTTGTATATACAAGTGATATGCACATTTAAACTAATCTGCATCAGTATATAAGATACTGCTGAAAAGGTGGTTGCATAAGACAGGTGGTCTTTATGCACATGTTGCTCATAGGCCTTCGGACTGCCTAAAAGTGGTCACTATAGGCAGGTGGTCTTTATATAGAGTAGTCACTGACACAGGTTTTACTGTATATAACAATCTGAATGCCCATTTATTGTCAGGATACAGGTATAATGTAAAATATGTTAAAAAATACAACAAAAATCAGATTTAAAACTGTTCAACATTCACCATTTCAATACATAGTGTTATGTCATGGATGTCATCTTGATTTGTCAGACCAACACAGCTGTTGATAAGATTAGTTTTCCTGAAGTCTAAACATGTACTGTATTTACTCTATTAGAAGCACATCTTGAGTCGAAGTGCACATGTATTGTATGCTGAACCATTAAAATATGACTTATGACCATGAACACACCTGTTATTTATGGATTATACACATGCTACTATTATAGAGTAAATTTTCCCATAATATCTATTCTTGATTTGTCAACAATTGGAATAAGATTGCTGTCAAATTTACCAGAATGTCAACAAATTTATTTTACATAGGACATTTATCCTACATTACAAGAGCGTATTATTTCTTACAAAACAGCCTCACTATTACGAATGTTTCTGTTTACATTCATATGATATCTTCCCACCATTCTGTCAGTTTAGAAGACTGTTGTAGACTTTCTGTAAGTTATACAATTCATTTGACTACCACATGACTCTCTTGACTCTTAATTTACAACTCATTGTTTGTGACTAACTGGGTCACAGGCACAGTTAATCACTATTGTCATTTACAGCAACCTTTAACTAATCACCTGCTGCAATAAAAGCTGACATAAATACAGTGTCAGATAAACCCTGTAGGAAAATTAAAATCTCAAAGTTGCTTCCCGACTTTAGTACCACGTATATCAAGAAAGTTACATATGTGAAATATCCTGGAGCAAAATCCAAACTATATTTAAAAATACATGAACTGATTTAGATAAAAGTTTAGATACATAAATAAATTTTAGCTTATACAGAGTATAAAAATAAAGAATTTATAATGAGCTGGTGAATGGTCATAAAGTTAACACCACATGTCCTGTCTGCAAAAATTGGGCTATATACATATGAAACATACACATGTTTTTTGGAGTTGCTATAACAGGCCTTAAACTTTACAGAGACATTGGAGGACATTGCCTTGATGTCCAATGAGTTTGTCTTAGAGCCCTTTGATATTCTCCATGTTATTCCAAAAGTCTAAGGTCATTTTATAAATCCACCTTTTTGAAGCCCATATTAGAATGACTCACAAAAGGGGAATGGGCTACCAGTTTTGCCAATTTTAATCATTTTTCAATTCATTCATACAACTCTATGCCAAAATTACTATAACTTTGGTCATATAGACAACAGACCCAGCACTGTATTAAATTTTTGTGAGTGAACCAACCGATTGTGTCATTGTTAATTATATTGAATTGAATGTACATTATAATAATGAATTTTAAACTAATTTAAAATAGCAAACAAGGCATACTTTGAATTCGCTATTGTTCAAAATTAAATATCCCTGAACTTTGACCTAGATGATAATTATAGACCATGACTAATGAAAGCGTAAAAGAAATGATGAATATTATGATAACGATTTAAATCCGCATGAACATGTAATGTAACAATGTAACTCATTGTTTCCCTGGTAAATTTGTGAACTTAAAACATCATAGTGAAATTAAACATCAGCAAAAATAAATGGTTTTACAGTAAGTATTTGGCCTAGATATTGTGTATGTGTGGACATGCAGGTCTGGGTTTGAAATTGTGTTCCTAAATTTCATAGCTTGTCTGGTATATTCGTGTTTGTGCTATGTACCTTTTGACTTCATATAATGAATGCAAAGTGTGAGTCATCATTACCGATTGAAACAGTCAATAGCAAATTGTTTTTGTTAACACGGCAATCCGAAGATAGACAATTATTAGAAGTGTAAATAAAATTAATGACTCGACTATCAAAATACTACGTAAACATGTTTAAAGGCCATACTACAAATATATAACCTTCAAACTTGTTATTATGGCCTCAATACAGTTCCATGTATTCCAATGTTTTACATGGATTCTCATTGTTTCAAAATTGCAATTTTTTGCAGTTTTTCTCCAAAAAAATAATTCGTATTATAGAATGGATTAGAATGAATGCACACAATATCCGATATTTACATTCAAAGCTGATTGAAGTGCATAGTGCAACGACTGTGGTGCTTTCGTTTGTTGTGAGCTTAAAATAACAAATTTTAAATACTGTAAAATACTTTATTTTCGCTTTATCCAGCGAATATACCTTTTTCCCTATATTTTACATTCAACTTGTCAAAAATCAGTGAAAATAAATTCCATACAAAGCATCAAAAATGTCTTTTCAGCAAAAATTAATTCCAGCAAAAATAAAGCATTTTACAGTATGCAGCCATTTCAACATGAAAACCTTACCCAAATGGCGAGTATTACATGTGGGTTAAGTGCAAATGCAAAACATTCCCAATATTGAAAAATAATTTGTTTTCACACAATTATCTGCTGGTGCCCTTTTTTCCCATTTATCTAGGCTATCCGTGTAGGCTATCAGCAGGTCATCGCCCCAGTCCAGTTTGATATGGGTTCCATAGTGACATATACAACATGTGTAAAATGCACTGTTAGTTTGAACAAAATTTGAACATGCGCTGTACAACAACCATCGTCCTATAATAAATGTAAATGTGGTACATAGCCATAATAAATGTAAAGTTAGGAAAAATTCAAACTGGTTCTGCAGATCGGTAACAAGTTGGTCTAATAACATTGTTGTGTAAAAAGAGAAGACCACATATGACTGAAAACCCTAGAATCATAAAAAGTACTTTTAGAAGTCTGTCCTTTCCACCATTCATCTCGTGTGCCAGGACTTCAAAAAATGTCACATAGAGAAACGTCCCAGTTGCAAGGCCTTGCAGAATTCCATTGATAAGACTGCTAGTAAAATCAGATGCCTCTTCCATCACTCCAATCCCTATTGCTATACCAATAGGTGCCATGATAGCAAAACAGAACAGTCCACGGAAGAACGCTCCCCGACTGAGTCTACTTTGAACTAAATTCATACCTAAACTAAAGGCTAAAATACATTTATGTAATATTAAAGCTGTAAATATTTCCATGACAGCTTCATTGTCTTTTTGTAATCCAACAGCAAGGCCTTCAAATACACTATGCAGGGATAGTGCTAAAATTAACACATACGACCTAAACCTAGAGTGTGCATGGGGGTCTGTATGCCCATGGCTGTGACTATGACCTACACTGTGTTGTTGGCCATGCCGGTCATTGTCAACAGTGTCCACAAAGTCTATGTCATGGCCAATGTTGTGCTCATCGACGCTGTTGATAGCTCCATGGTTTCGTCCATTTTTCCAACTTCCTTCAAGCAACGGCTTCGTGACACCTCCTTCTTCGGTGTCTGAGGCCGATTGGCTGTCGTTTTCTTTACAGGCGAGGACAGTTTGTTCAACGATAACAATAATGAAGAAACCGATTGACATTACAAACTCAGTGATAGGAAACGCAGTGTATAGCTCAAGACGATCAAATACTAAACTGAGATTGTCTCTAACACTTGGGAGAAGGTCTAAGAGACATGTTGATAGAAATACTCCACCGGCAAAGCAACTTAGAAAACTCAATATTCGTGATATCAAATTTTTCCGCTGGTCGGTTCCATCCTCGCCCAAGTTCTTGAACTTCCATGGCAGTAAACCGAATAACAAGTTCAGGAAAAGCATTCCAAATAATGCGATCGTCTTTGTGAACTCGACTTTAAGTGCCATTTCGATAATAATTACTGGGCGATCAACAGAAAACGTTAGTACCGGTTCGATATGTTCACGATATGATGAAATAATGGCGAACTTCTGCTAACGGATATTGCATTGGTTTGTTCCATTATGAGGCTTGGTGGAGGGGAGAGTAGGTTAAATTTTGTGTGTAACAGTTTCATTGTACAATTTATTCATGTATATGTGCAAGTATTTGTAAATTAACGTAATTTTTTTTTTTTTAATTTAAATGGTTTAAAGTAAAATTAAATTCACAATCTATAAGAAATTATACATTGCTATGTTGAAGTATGGTTGCAGGAGGAGGTTAAAGGCTACAAAAGAAAATTGCAAATAAAAAATTGTTAATTACAATGGCTAAGAGTTTAAAGCACAACCAAAAACAAAAAGACTAAATTGAAATTAGTAACGGAAATATACAATAAAATAAAATAAAACACTCACAAAAACCTTTAAGCTGACCTGCAATTTGACCTGCGTCAGGTGACATGAGTCACATGATTTCGTCATTGCCTGACGTAAGGTATGTTGGCGCTCGTGCGTGTGGCTCTTGTTGAGAAGAACTTGCACTTGTAATCAGAGTTTAATGTATATACATCTACCATGACATTTAGCCACGTATTTCGCCAGTTTGCCAGAACTGTGAATTCACCATTACCAGCACAATTGTGCGATGTTATAAAGCCAGTACTTGAAAATCGCTTTCACAACTTGAAGCGTTGGATAACTTACTCGCCAAATCGTCACCTTCTTCGATCATGTTCCTCTTTTACATATTCACGTCATTTTCATCTAGCAAGTTTTCAAGTTTTTCACCAAAGACGGGTTTTAAGTGACATGGCTTCAGTAAGTATGACATGAATCAACCCGACCACCGTGACGATTGATGCATGTTTGACAGGGTTATACAATGTAACCTGTCTAAAAAATTGTGTCGAAATTTAATATAGAAGTCCCTAGTCTTTACAATCAATATTTTTTATTGATTATTTATGGTTATTTTGTTATTCACTGGTAGATTTCAATCAGAATTGGACAGCGGTTGGTAGACATTTTGCCTATCAAATGAAATTTTGTATCTGTATAAAATGTGGAACGCTGTTTATAATTTAGTCTTAATATTTTTTTCTCTGTAATGTATTAGCTTATTTTTTTTTATTTTTCTATTTTTTATTA